AGTGCACTAGAAGCCTATTTGTATTTAGCCGTTTTCATTTTTTTAGTTTATCAAGAAATTGATGTTAATATCTTCCAATTTATTTGCCCTGGCTTTCTTTGAGTTTGAGTGACTATATGCTACTCAGTGAGGGACTTCTTCTGGGATCAGACGGGTGTTAGAGTTTGCCGGGAGTGTCGTGGTTGTTGGAAAATGGCTTCCTGGTGTATACGGAGGGAAAGAAACAACTGTAGTTTAGAGAATTCAAACCGGGTGCTGAAGTGACCTTGTCTTTTTGGATCACGAATAGTTTTCCTCTGGAGCCATTGCATTTCGGTACAGACTGTTACTATGATCATAGGTCATGAACTTAACGTCTGGTTTGTTCTTGTAAACAAAAGTGTTATACTTATCCAAAAAGAAAAAAAAAATTCTGGTTGTAGGAATTTCAGGGGCAGTAGTTGGTTTGAATGTTTCAAGTCTGATTTGAAGGGTTTAAAGCAGCTCAATAGATACGGAAATTATGGGAGGTTTCTAGGGTAGTTGGGAGAAGATAGGTATTAAGGACTAAGGCTGTTGATAATTGAGAAAAGCAAGCAGGTCAGTGCTGATACCACAAGTGGACAGTACTGATAGATTTTTCCCTGTAGGAATAGGAATTCACTTAGTAATTGATTCAGTTGGTACAATAACTTGACTTCATAAATTGTAAAGTAAGACCAAATGACCTATAAGAATGGTCAATTTCCGGCAATTTCTTCCACTCATTGAACTTTGTTCACTCTGGTTTAATTAGGTTTTTCTTCTTCTTATTTTCTCCTGAAATTTTAATTGCTCAGCGTTGTTTTGTTTGGTGATCTTATAAATCTAACGCGGGTTTCTTTTAATACAGGAATTACTCGAGTGTTTTATGGATCAGATTTTGTTACTGTAACAAAGTCAGAAGATGCTTCTTGGGATCTTTTGAAGCCTGAAATCTTTGCAGCAATCATGGACTTCTATTCTTCTGGGCAGCCACTCTTTCTAGACTCAAAAACTGCATCAGCGATGGACACTGCTATTCAAGAAGTATGTCCTGAAATTTAACTCCATGAACTTTTTTCAACTTTTGGGTCAACTTGTTGACAGAGTGTTCAGATCAGTGTTTTACCTTTTGATTTGAAGACATTTTTATTCAACTTCTTAAGAATGTTGTTAGAATTAGTATGTGCTTTGATGGACTGTATATGCTAGTGTTTACTCACCCCCAAGTGGGAGTAACATTCTAGGTTAGGAAGCTCCTTGGCGTTATTGAAGTTTTTAGAATCACATATTTTTTTTTGGGTGAAGTGTTGTTAGAACCATAGTTCAAGGAGTAACCTTGAGGCTTGTAGCTTTTGTTTGAGGCACCGTCATAAGTAACTGTGCCTTGATTTCTCTTTGTAACCATAAGCAAGTGATTTATTTTATTATAGCAGTTTTATATATTAGACTTAAGAATGGGAGCTCTCCCCAAATTCAGGCGGACATCTATTATTTTGAGCATGCTAGTGTAGTATAACCTTATCTTACCCCATAATTGTGCCTTCAGAATCCTTTATATTTGACCTTACCAAACCCACTAATGGTGCTTGTAGTCAATCCTAACTCCGTCTTTGTTGACTCTGCCACGAAGCTATGGCACCACCAGGTTTTTAGATAATTCATATACTAGAAAACCCTTCAGAGGGCCTGTCAAGTAGAATGAAAGACTCTGCTAACCACTGCCTATTTGAGTGCCATAACACCTCAAGTTTACAGATAACTAATTTACTAGAAAACCCGAAAGAGTGTGCAGGGCTTGACAAGTAGAAGGAAAATGGAATTAAGCTTAACTACAATAACTTCATATGCACTTACTGAATGTCAAAGACCTTTGATTCTTTTTGGTGTAATTAGAGAACCATGGGCTGAGTCATCAATGGATCTAACTTTTTAAAATCCTGTCGAAACCTCAGTGATGAGGCATGCTGTATACAAGGATGTGGCTCTGATGGACAAAGCTGGTCAAGTTGAAAGAGCAGAAATTAGAACTGGAACTTTGGAGGATATATTTAACCATTCTTTAGTATTTGTTTTATTAATTCTTTTGTGCAGAAATCTCAAATATATAACCATGTTGGTGGTTTCTGTTGCAGGATGATTCAGAAATTGTTGCAATGATCAAAGAATTGTTGGAGACTCGCATCCGACCAGCAGTGCAAGATGATGGTGGCGACATTGAGTATAGGGGATTTGATCCGTAAGTTTCCTTCATTTAATTTAGTCTTTTTAATGTAATATTGGGGAAGGCCGAAATTTTATTTCTGCTTCTTGGCTTTATCTCTTTGCTTCTTTTGTTTTCTAATTCTTTTTTTAATCTGTGTTT